ATCTTCTCCCGTCTCCTAGTGTTCAGGGATGAGCTTGGACATCATCAAGAAAACACGTACAGGATTGTCCAGGAAAATGTTCCAACTGTTAGAGGGAATATAGTGGTAATGATGGCTTTTCTTTCTTTTCTAGAATAAAGGCCTAGTTGTAAATCTAAAATTTGAAGGAAAAGTAAAGTCCTAAATGCCCATTGCACCTTTACTTACTTTAAATTGTTTTTCTTTCTGTGTCCTCAGTATAAATATATTGATGTCTTCATATGAGACTTAATTGTAATTTCTTATTTAGCAAGTATTTCTTTGCATTTAGTCACTGGTAGCAGTAGACCAGGATTCAGGTGGCTTATGATCATCCCCTTCCCATGACTGTTTTACAGGTAGCATAACACAGAAAAAAGAAAAACATGCATAAATGTGGTGTTTAGATTTGAAGAGTCAGACAGTTTCTGACTTGAGCCAGGGCTCAGCTGCTTGAAATGAAAAAAAAAAAAATGCTGACCTCCATTACACATTTTTAATCAGGTGTATAATATTACCAATCCTTTTGTGTTAACATGTATTTGTGAAGCAAATAAATGACCATAGGTTATGGCAATAGATGGGGCAGCGTTTAAGGCCTATATGGTATTGTTGATACTGAATCTAACAGCACTATATATAGGTGCTGCTCTAATTATTTTTATATTAGCATTAGACAGAAAGAAAAATGTAAACCATACATAGTAGATGTTCATAATGTTACAGTTACCTTCCTTCACCCTTATGAAATTTGTTTCTATGGGTGCATTTTTCAATTGTGCAGAAGCATAACATTGTAAGTGTACAATACTATGAGTGCATTTGTATGCATTCTTCCGTACCCCCCCATACCCCCTGTCCCCCAAGTATATGTGAAGTGGTACCTCCCACCTTATTAAGGGACAGAAATCATTTGAGCATAGTTGGGTTTGGGTTTTAAAATGCTGATATATAGCAGCTACTTATATATCAAGCTCTGTGTTAAGCACTTTACATATGAAATCTCATTTAATCTCAGCAATCCTAGAAGAGCGGTGCTATTACTATCTGTTTTTATGATTGAGGAAATTGAAGCTTGGAGAGGTTTGCTAACTCCCCTTGGTCAAACAGATGCTAAGCACAGAGTCTGGACCCAAGGACAGAAAGAGCAGTTTTAACTCCAGAACCCATGCTCTTAACCACTTAGCAATAACAATAGTAAAAATAATATTGAACACCTGCTAAAATAGCCAGGCACTGTATTTTGCATACATTAAGTCATTTAACTTTCACATCAAGTGTAGGAAGACTTCATTATTGGTCCCATTTTGCTAGATGAAGAAATTGAAACTTAGGTGAAATACTTTGTTTTTGTTCGGGGTCACCTATTTGAAGTTGGGAAGTGGGGATCTAGTGAAGATGAGCTCAATATGAATAAGGATGTATTTGGCCAGGATGGAGTAGAACCTGAATCTTGCCCCAATTACCTGTTTCCAGGAGATCTCAGGGAAATCTATATCCAGAGCATAAAACAAAGCAGCGACCCCTTATTATTAGCTGGGGCTTTGGTCCCAAACTCTAGTGTGGAACTGCAAGTAGTAAGGCTGGCCTATAGCAGTTTTCCTATGCTAGATTGGCCTGAGGCCCCCAAAGTGCACATTCTAGGCTCTCCTCTTCCTCCACTGATGTGACAAGGCCCTACCTACAAATGCTAGAGGGAAAAAAGGGGAAAGATGGTTTGTCTTGATGCTTGGGAGCCTCTGCCCCTATACATGGCTGCTGCAAAGGGAGGGCAAGCAAAAGGGCACTTCCAGACTGAAGATAGAGACAACCACTTACCTCTTTACTCCTCTGAAAGTTCCACCTTCTGTGACTATGGGTCAGCCTAGCACCATGGAATCTTCCTAATCCAGATGAACACTACTTATGGGTAGAGGGAGTAGGGAAGAAGAAGAGGAGAATACTTGAGCCTCCTTTCCCCTAAAGACCAGCATTATCACAGCAAGATAGTGTCTGAGCTGGGGTCTTAGCCAATGTCTGTGCTCTTAACCATTATTCCAGAGGGAGGGATATATCAAAATTACTTGGGAATATTTTTCAAAATACTTATAACCCTCTAGGCAGTTAGAAAGCCTAAACATGGTGACTGTACAAAGCATTAAAGATGAAAGAAAAGATCAAAGATGGGCAAAGAAACAACATTCAAATAAACATGAAATTTAAAACAACAACAACAAAAAATCTACTGCTATGTACTGACAAGGAGAAATCTTACTGTTTGTTGGATGACAAAACCAAATTCTAGAACAGTGTACCCACTATGCTACCTTGTGTGTAAGAGGAGACAGATAATAAGTGTGTGCGTGTGTGCACGCGCGCACACGCACACACACTTAATTTTGCATAAAGAACCACTGAAAGACCAAACTAATACAAGTTACAGGAAGCAAAAGGGGACGAGGGGGATGGAATCAGAAGAATGAGACTTCTAAATGTATACCTTTTATAATTTTTGATTTTTGAACCTTGTAAATATATTATCTGTTTTAAAATAAAAGTTGGGGCAGATCAGGGGCTCACCTGTGATCCCAGCACTTTGGAAAGCTAAGGTGGGAGGATCACTTGAGGCCAGGAGTTCAAGACCAGCCTGGCCAACGTAGTGAGACTCAATCTCTACAAAAAACTTGAGGTAAAAAAACAAAAAGAAAATGATAGAGGGTGAAAGAGAAAAGAGTAAGAGCAAATAGGAAAAAAAAATCATTGGGAATACTTTTCTAAAGGCTAGTTGGGTGACATTTTTTGTTTTTACTTGGGATGGAATTCAGGGAAGTAAAAAATTATTGCTCAGAGATGGCTGGAAAGAAAATAGTTTTGGCTTGATACCATAGACAGGACCTGGGGCCCAGAGAGAAAGATGGAGTTTCCTCAGTGACCAAAGGAGCTGAGGAAGAACTCCAATTTGATTAAGGGATAGGACCCAGGTAGCCATCAAATTAGCTGGCACAACTTTTATTGCTGTTCATGTACATTTCTTCTCCTTTTAACCTCATAAGAATACTATCAGTGTCAATACCACTTACACTTCAGAAGGGTTCTTCTAAATCTTGTCAAGATCTATAGGTGTGTTTTTAAAATCACAATTTGGGCTGGGCGCAGTGGCTCAAGCCTGTAATGCAAGCACTTTGGGAGCCTTAGGCAAGAGGACTGCCTGAGACCAGCCTGGGAAACTTGGTGAGACCTTGTCTCTACAATAAATAAAAAAATTAGCCAGGCATGGTAGCGCGTGCCTGTAGTTCCAGCTACTTGGAAGACTGAGGTGGAAGAATCGCCTGAGCCCAGCAGGTCAACACTGGGGTGGCCGCGAGCATGCCACTGCATTCCAGCTTGGGCAACAGAGTGAAACTCTGACTCCAAAAAAAAAAAAAAATCACACCTTGTTCCCTGTAGCATTTTTCACAGATAATCATTCCCTTATTCTTTACATTTTCTCCCATCTTGGTTCATGTGATACTGAATGCAATTGTCTACCGTTCATGAATTCACTGAACACTGCTTCTTGAGCCAGAAACTGCATTAGACTCAATTTTTCCTACTTCTTTGAGACTCAGTCTCTTTGGCTAACTCTCATTTATTTTTTTCTACCCTCCTCCACCTCAGCTGTCATCATGGTACAAGATTCAGTTTTGAATCCTCTGCTTTTTTATCCTTATGTTCTTTTTTGCTTCTACATATTAATTTTAATTACTTTGAAAAAACATAACTTAGGACCAAATATTTAACAAGCACCCATTATAATTGCTAAACTAGAAAATCAGCATTATTTGTATCTGACTAGCTAAACAAAACTCCAATTTTTCTTTTGACAAAAGGTACAGGTTGAGGCCGGGCATGGTAGATCACACCTGTAATCCCAGCACTTTGGGAGGTGGAGGTAAGAGGATTGCCTGAGCCCAGCAGTTCAAGACTAGCCTGGGCAACTTGGTGAGACTTTGTTTCTCCGATAAATCAAAAAATTAGCTGGACATGGTGGCATGTACCATGTTCCAGCCACTTGGAAGGCTGAGGTGAAAGGATCACCTGAACCCATCAGATCGAGGCTATGGTGGCTGTGAGTGTGCCACTGCATTCCAGCCTGGGTGACAGTGAGACTCTGACTCAGAAACAAAAACAAAAAAGGTACAGGTTGAGTATCTAACCTTCTTGGGACCAAAAGTGTTTTGGATTCCAGATTTTTAAAATATTTTGGGGTACGTGCATTATACTTATGGTTGGACATCCCTAATCCAAAGATCTGAAATGCAAAATGCTCCAATAAACTTTTTTTTTTGGAGTTGGAGTCTCACTCTGTCACTCAGACTGGAGTGCAGTGGCTGCTCCCAGCCACCACAGCCTCGACCTGCTGGGCTCCGGCGATCCTTCCGACTCAGCCTTCCAAGTAGCTGGAACTACAGGCGTGTGCTACCACGCCCAGCTAATTTTTGATTTATTGTAGAGATGAGGTCTCACCAAGTTGCCCAGGCGGGTCTTGAACCCGTGGGCACAGGCAATCCACTCACCTCAGCCTCCCAAAGCGCTGGGATTACAGACTGAGCCACCGAGCCCGGCTTCCAATAAACATTTTAAGCATGATCTTTGAGTGTCACACCAGCACTCAAGTTTTGGACCCTGGAGCATTTCAGATTTTGGATTTTCAGATTAGGGATGCTCAATCTGTAATAGAAATCCCAAAGAGTAAGGGAGAGTCTACAATTAAAGGTCGTGTTTACTATGATGTACCATAATTTCAGTTTTAGAACCTCCCAAGCAGCTGGAAGAATGATGAGAAGAGGTGAGGTGTAGTTCTTAACTTGTGGCTCCATTTTTGTTCTGTGGAAAAGCAGGGTCTAGCAAAGAAGCTTTATTGAGGCTGGAGATTAAAACAAAAAGCTTTTGGTTCAGATGATAAAGAAGGCCCTCAAGGGCAATAGAATCAGTGTATCCAGAAGGTAGTATTGGAGTCAGCCTCATGAACTAGAGGGTATCTTCTTGGCATCCAAGTACTTTTTAATTTCAAGCGTTTTAGGAAGGTTTGGTATGTCATAGTTTTGAGCTAGATACATTTCAACCATGTTGCCAAATGTAACTCCAAGCAGGAACTGGAGCATGATGTCAGTGGGGAGGGCAAGAAGCGTAAAGAGGTTGGGGAGGGCTCTCAGGGCAGCTGCAGCCATATGTTCTTTCCTTTAGGTACATAAACCTTCCTCACCACGGCTTCAGCTGTCACTCCTGAGCACAGTCATTCATCTGACTGCCATTTCTCAATCTTCCAACTGTCTGCCAATTATGTCTGCTTGAATAGTCAAATAATTTGTTATTCGTGTCTCACGTGTACTAAACTGAACTCATCATATTCCTCCTTCCCACATGGCCTCCCTGCCCTGGCATCTCCATGTCCATTGATGACATGTAGTTATCTCATTTATACCACTGACATTTTGGGGTCATCTTAGCCTGTTCTGTTTTTTTTTACCCTTCTTGTTGAAACGTTTCTCTTCTCCATCCTCTCCTTTTCACGCCCACCTCGTCAAACTAATGTGTGCCACTGACCCCACAGTAATTACATCAGCCTCCTTATTGGAGTCCCTCCTTGAGATCTTTTTCACTTGCTTTCTCCTGTACATCCCACACACTGCAGGGTAAAAGAGAATAGTAGTTAAGAGCATAGCCTTTGGGGTTACCATCATTAGTCTAATATCATCTTGTGACACTTTCTATTTTGAAACTCTTAAATAATTTAGAATCTCCCTAGCTAAATTGTCAGCTTTTCCAAGTAATTCAAACGATGAGTACCTTCACTTTGAGGAAGGAGAGCGCTTTCTGAAAGAACAAAAACAATATCAAAAACAGCAGAGCTGGGTATGGTGGCTCACGCCTGTAATCCCAACACTTTTGGAGGCTGAGGCAGGAGAATGACTTGAGCCCAGGAGTTGGAGACCAGCCTGGGCAACACAGTGAGACCTTGTCTCTACAAAAAAATTTAAAAATTAGCTGGGCATGGTGGTGCACACCTGTAGTCCCAGCTATTCTGAGGCTGAGGTGGAAGGATTGCCTGAGCCCAGAAGGTTGAGGCCATGGTGAGCCATGATTGTGCCACTGCATTCCCACCTGTGTGACAGAGTGAAACCCTGACTCAAAACAAACAAACAAACAAACAAAAACCTGAGCAGAAACTACCTGCCAGGTACTTTTCACAAAACTGACCTTGGTATATCCCACAGAGACTATCACAAGGCATCTATAGATACTATTTGTTTAAAGAACTAAATCCTCTGTTTTAGCTATTTAATATCCTGACTATTGAATGGAACATGGTCAGTGAAAACTGGTCTTTGCTTATGTTCCTTTCCATGTCTGAAATCTCTTTTTCTACTCCCCACCTCAAAGCTCCAAATTCCGCCCATCTTTCAAGACTAGTCCAAGTTCTGTGTCCTCCAGGAATCCACTGACCTCTGTAATTTGGACTAGTTGAATCAGAGTTGCAAAGAACAAGTGTGGATTTGAGAACCATGAGATGTGCATTTGACTTACAGTCTGCTGAGTGCTACCTTTCTAGATCTCCACCAGCTATATGTTGTCTTTAGTTTCCTCATCTGTAAAATGAGAATGTTAGTTCTCCTTCTCCTTAATCATATAAAATCCTGAAGTACTACTTTTCTTACGGCTTATGTTTCCAAAATGACACAAACCCTCTGTGGACAACACCAAGACTTCTGTATCTGCCCCCTCTTGGCCTCAGGCAGCCAAGACTGCCTGAGGCAAAAGCTGGGTGGATAAATGCAAATATGAACAAGTTTGAGGAGGTTTTAGTACCCTAATGCCACTAACTCAGTAACTCTTATGGAATACCTGTTATGAGCTAAACACTATGGGATGGGGACAGGAGGGTGGAGGGAACTGTTAGCTGGGTTCCCCAAAAAAGGAAAGAAAAAAAGAATAACATGCTGGTTCTCATGTAACAGAACACTAAGGTAGGAAACCCAGCAGCTCCACAGTGTCTTTAAGGTCCTAGGCTCTTCATATCTTCTTACTTTGTTATCCTAAATATGTCATGTTTTTCTTTATGCTGGTAAGATGGCTCTTAAGTATTGTGACTGCATTCTAGGCAGAAAGAATTAGAGAGAGCAAGTACCCAAAGGTCAGCTAAGTCTATCCCTTTTCATCAGGAAAACAATAACTTTCCCAGAAGCTTCATGCAGTAGACTTCTACTTATATCTCATGTACCAGAGCTGGATCACATGACCATCCTGGCTTCAAGAGAGTCTGAGGAGACAAAGCACATTGTCTTGCTAAAGAAAAATTGAAGTTCTAACAGTAAAAAATGAAAAGAAGAGATATTGGGTAAGCAACTGTCAGTATTTGCCATATGAAGCTGTAATCTATTTACTTTTGACTATACCATAGACAGATAAAAGGAACTCTTCACCTGCCTCCAAGGCCCCAGGCTGGGGAACACCTCCCAACCACCACATGTGGATCTCCTCCTTACCCTGTTTGAGCTTTGATGCCCACACCAGGTCAAGACGTCGGGAGCATTCTCTCTAAACATACTCACACCTGGCTTCCTCCACTGGACATAAATAGGTTCTTGAGGCAAGCATTAAATATGGAATATGAAGATTTCATAATTTTGTGCAGTCATAGATAATCTCTTTCCGAAGTTAGGAGAAGAAAGGATAAAATATGTAATTGGAATCAGTTGCTACCTAAATATATCTTTTTTAAAAAACCTTGCCATGGTACTTGGGGTGAGAGGCATTTCTTTGTCTATTTTTTTTTTTTATAGACAGGGTCTCACTGTGTCCCCTAAGCTGGAGTGCATTCATGCCACCAGGCCTCACTGCAACTTCAAACTCCTGGGTTCAAATCCTCCCACCTTAGCCTCGCAAATAGCTAGGACTACAGGCATGCACCACCATGCCTGGCTGATTTTTAAAAATGCTTTGTAGAGATGGAGTCTCACTATGTTGCCCAAGCTGATCTCAAACTCCTGACCTTGAGCAATCCTCCTGCCTCAGCCTCCCAAAACACTGGAATTATATATGTGTGCCACTGGACCTGGCCTGTCTACTGTTTAAAGAAAGCAATAGACTGGGAATATTACAACAAATCCTTGGGGGGAATTCATGTCTTTACGTCAAAATTAGTTGTAATTCTCTTAAATAGTTGGTTTGCTTGTTTTTATCTCATGGACCTTTTGAAGTGCAGAATTTATCTTATTTTTTTTCTTTTAACTGCTAGAGAACTTTTGAGCCATTTAAATTTATAGACAACTATATTACTCATCTTAAACCTCTTTGTTTCCTTTTTCTCTTCTCTACTGCTCTCTTTCTTCTTTTTCTTTACTTTCTCTTTTTCCCTACCAACATTAGTTTATATGTTTGTGTTGCATTTAATTACTTCTTTGTAGGCCACATTAAATCAATTCTGAAGTAATTCCAGTTTTAAATAGATGAACTAAAAAACAAGTTTAAAAAAGGGAGGAAAAAGATTTAAGAACATTTCTAAGAGTAATCCAAAGGTTTCTTTAGGGGGATAAAGAGTGGGATTAAGTCACTTGGGTAATGTCTCCCAAGAAATTTCTGAAGAATTTAAGGAAAAATTACTGCTGTTGTGATTTTTTTTAAAAACTGGTTCTAGTGTGGAATGATAGATATTAGAGACTCAGAAAGGTGAGTGGGTGGGGGATAAGAAATTATTTAATGGGTACAAGGTACACTATTTGGGCGATGGTTACACTAAAAGCCAGACTTCACCACTATGCAATATATCCATGTAACAAAATGGCACTTGTACCTCTTTAATTTATACAAACAAAAAGAAATTGGTTCTTGTATCTCAACAGATATAAAGATTTATGGATTGACTTGGATAGAGCATAGAAGAAGGTCTAGGGCAGTTTTCATGGGTGTTTGTCCCATAAGGCCCAGGTGCTTCTATCTCCAGGAAGTTAAATACAGAGACTTCTGAGAACTCACTGAGATCATGGTTCTCACGAAGAACAACTCCCTCCTAAGCCACACACGGGACAGTTTACTTCTAATATGGAAAATGATGTATAGTCTCTGAAGTTGAGCATTCTCTGGAATCAGACACTTTCGCAATCCCTTTTGAAATTTCTGACTTAGAAAAAGCCAATGTAAAGAGAGAATTCAAAATTCAGGGAAAATTAATTTTTTTCTTAAGTTCATATAGGTTCTAGATTCATATGTAAAAGTAAAGATAGCAATTGTATTAGTCAGGATTCCACCAGAGAATCAGAAGCATGAGGAAATACACACAGAGATAGAGATAGAGGTAGAGGTAGAGGTAGAGGTACAGGTAGAGGTAGAGGTAGAGGTAGAGATAGAGATAGAGATAGAGATAGAGACAGAGACAGAGATATAGAGACAGATAAATGAATTGGCTTATGTAATTGTGGAAGTTGGTTTGGCAAGTCTGAAATCTGAAATCCTTGGGGCAGGCCATCAGAAAGGGCAGGCTAGAGCTCTTGAGCACAAGCTGATGCTGCTGTCTGTAGACAGAATTTCTTCAGGAAAGCTTCAGTTCTATTAAGGCTTTCAACTAATTGAATCCGGCCCACCAGATTATCTTCTTTACTTAAAGTTAACTGATTATAGACTTGAATCACATCTACAAAATACCTTCTCAGCACCACCTAGATTAGTTTTTAATGGAATCACTGAGGACTATAGCCAAGTCATGTTCACACATAAAACTCACCATTACAGTGATGCTTGGTTTTCATTTTGTTTTTAACTCCATCAGTGAACATTTTGTTCTCTGTGAAAATAAATCACAAGCTCAGACAGGCTTCCAAGAAGAGAGATTGTCAATATTGCTGATCTATGGCATCAGCTTTAACACGTATTTCGTCTATGAGGTCATTAACCATCTGGTAAAAGGAAGCTACAATGATTATAACTCATACATTGGGCATATGCTATTGCCTTATTCCACTGAACTGTTTTCAGTCATTGGTAAGAAAATTAGTTCTTAAATTCAATTGAAGTTAATGTCTGAGAAGGGAGGATTTCAAAAAACAGGTGTGTATTTCATTTGTAAAAATAATTTTCTCATGCCACAAATGTTGAATAAGTCAACTCC